TTTTGACCATGTTCGAGTCCGAATTTGGAAATTTGACATTAGACAGGAATTGTAGCCTGCTGAAATAGCTTTCTAATTCCGCCGGAACCAGTTGATTTGGAGTCCGGATGAGAAGGTTATGCTCGACTTCGTGGACACTACCGAAGATGTTGAGGGATCCTCTCTTCTAATTTGATTTTATTTTCCTAATTGCAACTCTTTTCTTACTCTTTGATCATTTTTGCTTCATGGACACCTCATTATCAATTTGTACCAATAGAATACTGAATCCACCAATTAAAACATAAATATAAATTAATCCATAAAAAAAATCCACGTAAACGTAAACGTTAAGTGTTATTTCTACACTCCACTGTATCTTTTGTATCTAGTGTTTTTGCTGTTGTTTGGTTATGCGTATTAAAGTCCTAGTGTTGTATTTCGTGTTTTATAGAACGTTGTTGCGAATGCACTTTTGCGCATGTTTTTTTACATGTACGTTTGTGCATGTCCATTTGTGCAAGTGTGTTTGTGCATGTTTGTTGATTTGTATTAATGTCCTAGGATTGTAGTTTGTGTTATCATGAACATTTTTGCGAATGCACTTTTGCGTGAGTACTTTTGTGCATGATTTTGTACTTTTACTTATGTGCGTGTCTTTTGTAGCGAGTGTTTTTGTGCACGTTTCTTGATGCGCATTCGTGTCCTCGAACTGTAGCGGGTATTTTCATGATCGCTTTTGGAATCCAATTTTGACCATGTTCGAGTCCGAATTTTGAAATTTGACATTAGACAGGAATTGTAGCCAGCTGAAATAGCTTTCTAATGCCGCCAGAACCAGTTGATTTGGAGTCCGGATGAGAAAGTTATGCTTGACTTCGTGGACACTACCAAAGATGTTAAGGGATCCTCTCTTCTAATTTGATTTTATTTTCCTAATTGCAACTCTTTTCTTACTCTTTGATCATTTTTGCTTCATGGACTCCTCATTATCAATTTGTACCTATAGAATACTAAATCCACCAATTAAAACAGAAATATAAATTAATCCATAAAAAAATCCACGTAAACGTAAACGTTGAGTGTTATTTCTACACTCCACTGTATCTTTTGTATCTAGTGTTCTTGCTGTTGTTTGGTTATGCGTATTAAAGTCCTAGTGTTGTATTTCGTGTTTTTAAGAACGTTGCTGCGAATGCACTTTTGCGCATGTTTTTTTACATCTACGTTTGTGCATGTCCATTCGAGCGAGTGTGTTTGTGCATGTTTGTTGATTTGTATTAATGTCCTAGGATTGTAGTTTGTGTTTTCATGAACCTTTTTGGGAATGCACTTTTACGTGAGTACTTTTGTGCATGATTTTGTACTTTTTCTTATGTGCGTTTATTTTGTAGCGAGTGTTTTTGTGCACGTTTCTTGATGCGCATTCGTGTCCTCGAACTGTAGCGGGTATTTTCATGATCGCTTTTGGAATCCAATTTAGACCATGTTCGAGTCCGAATTTGGAAATTTGACATTAGACAGGAATCGTAGCCAGCTGAAATAGCTTTCTAATGCCGCCGGAACCAGTTGATTTGGAGTCCGGATGAGAAAGTTATGCTCCACTTCGTGTACACTACCGAAGATGTTGAGGGATCCTCTCTTCTAATTTGATTTTATTTTCCTAATTGCAACTCTTTTCTTACTCTTTGATCATTTTTGCTTCATGGACACCTCATTATCAATTTGTACCAATAGAATACTGAATCCACCAATTAAAACATAAATATAACTTAATCCATA